ATCCCGTGTACATGCTACAGCCACTTGATTTCTGCCAAGATCGGCGACTACAGGTCCAGGCACCTTTATAGTGGTCACAGTAGCGGGACAACATCTATAATTATTTGGTAATACTGCCATTATAGTCGCATTGTATACATTTCATTCTGTCCTAGTAAAAGTACATCGCTGCTACCACCAGTGACGTAGGTCGACGATTTTCGCTAATTAGTGTACTGACTTCATGTTTCGCAGTACCATAGCGGCACATGCGAATGTTGAGATACCTAAACCAAACCGAAGTCTTGATTTAAAGAGGAGCAAGAGAAGAACAGACATCCCGTGGAAACATTCACATCACAAAGGTTCAAAATGTACTCCAAAACAGATGCTATTTTTAACTGGCAGTGAGCAAGAAGGCGCGAATTGGGAGTAGTCAACTAACAAAGCAGTTCAGTTCAAGTAACCTAGGTCTATTAATCTTTCCTCTGATATAACTTTGATACCAAGCCTTCATGTTCCTTGGAATGTGAAATCCATCGCGCCAAAGCAGCATTGGCCTACTTAGTCAACTCTGCCAAATTTTTGAAAAGATTATTGTACACTAGATTGCTCCAGATTTGCTAAAAATAACTGTACTAATTATACTGGGAACACAGGAGGGTGTTCCTGCCTTCCAAATTCTCTTAAGAGTGTTAGTCTACCTACGGAGTCAAAAACTCCTTCAAACGAAGGACGACAATGATTGCTGGTCTGCGTTACTTGCGGCGGCACTCAACTGCGCGATGTAATCAATGCATCACCCGCCTAGCCGACATCCTACCGGATGCTCCTAAAGCTTAATATTGTCTGCAGAGACTGGGTGTATCAGTACCATGTGAACCAGTAGCCTTGTTGTGACAGATCAAAGGTTGATGCCCCTATGGTTGGTAACGTTTTGGGATAAATTTACTTCGAGTGATTGCTTACAAATAGGACAATGTGTGACTTGGCAGGACATTGTGAAGGTGGTTAGAAAAGCTCAAGTGTTGTTGGTGTCGTCCACCTTCTAGAATTGGGTGACGTGACTTCCGCGCGCTTGGCTGAAGATATTGAAAGAAATAGCGGCTAGTTGACGCCAGTGGTGTTCGTGCTACCAGTTTCTTCTCAAACTGTGACTAAGCCACTGTAGGTGTACGCACCTCAGAACGATTGCGGTAGGCCAGAACCCGTTCATTATCCTGCCTAGTTCTTCTCTTTTCACATTGCGGCTTTACGTTCAGTTGAACAAACTGTGTTGATGTACGACAGTGAGTCGACGATGACCCAAGCCTTTGAAACTCGTTGATGTTGTTAAACGAGTGTGAACCATTTAAATGACGCAGAATACGAAAGATCACAATCGTCTTTGAATGAAGATGATGGGAGCTTGTATGCTCTAGAAGCGCCAGCGTGCATCCAGGCAAAAAGCATATTTGGTTAAACTGATAGACAACATATCAATCTGAATGAAACAAATGGGCATGGTGATAGGTGGCCAAACAAATTTTGTTAGAGATATTCCACCTACTGGCTTGACTCTGAATTTTATTTCGTATGACATCTCGATAATTATTTCTGATTAATTCAATGACAGACGCTTTCCCATGTCTGCTTATACAAACCGACTGACATAGCCTAAACGTAATTTTGACCATACTATTTATTGAAATTCCTGATTCCATAACACCCCAACATCACTGAGGAGGAGTTCTGGGGTGACATTTCACCGGTCGCATGGCCGGCTTCATAAGTTAGGCCCGGTGAATTGTAGCGTTTCACATCAAGAAGCGACAGTGATCAATTTAAAATCGGTGTTTCGTGTTCACACAATTGGAAATTGTAAGCGCAAGTTCGTTGAACAAGGCCACCCAAGGCATCACAGGGTAGGATTTGGTGCTTTCCAACCTGTGAAACACAAAGCTGCCGGGAGGCAAGATCGCCCTTCAGGTTTACCTTATAGATCTGATGGAAATACACACACAACGAAACATGGTTTGAACCAACGTGTGCAATCCAGAATAACCGGCTATCAACATCGAAAACCTACCAAAGATAGCTGACGGCGGTGTGAACGGTTTGGTTCCATGGTAGCTTAGCAGCATAAAGACGTTGCAAGATAGGTGTCGTCACTTCAAAACCAACTGCTTTTCATCAAAACTTGTAAGAGACGTCCATTATTACATTAGACTTTGGGCCTAGACCGAATATGCTAGCAAGATGTTAGTCTCACAAACTGAGGTGCCCTACGTGTACTTTGAAGTTTGAAGCTACTATGACTGTGAGTTGAAGAAAATTGCTAGTTTTCAATAGAAATTGCCTTTCACCAAATCGGATCTGCAATACTTTGTGGCATAACTAAACCCCATGCGTAAAGAGCGATGGGTATTTCGAATTGTAAGGGTCCTTTTGAAAGTCAAGGGTATGACAGCAAAGAACCGGCCGTTATTCGGCATCCAGTCGAATAAGCTATATTGAACAAGGCGTGGCTCGAAGCAGTGGATGCCGAATCACCTAAGGATTCTAGTTGGTGGTGCTTAGACAGTAAACGTACTATAAATCGATTGTTCTACCTGTGCGTTGTAGCAGGCGTCTATGAAAAAGGAGTCTAGAGTGTCGCAGCAACAGATTGTATGAACACCAAATGTTGTGATGAACACTGAAGAGCGATGTTGGGATGACGAATGCCAATACAAAGTATGGGTGGGAACCATACCTGCTTGCCTATAGCTTGTATCAATGGAGTTGCGAGGAGGAGTAAGGAGAGGACAGTGAGAAAAATGGATGGTGTCACTAGTCGCTATCTCGACTTATCTGAATTCAGTATGCAGGACGAATGTGCCGGAAACAGTGAGAAATAACTGGTCACCACGCGACGGTTGACATAGCATGAAGGTATTTTGTTTTTGTATTCCCCTTGGTATGTCCACTTAGTTTGTGTCAAGATGCTGATCCCTGTGCAGAAGCACTATTTAAGCACTTACCCCGGACCACAAGCAAAAATACTTGGTGTAAGATAACCATGTTAGCCTGGCTTTTTGAAAACAATATTCCATATGCACTCATCTGCAAACTAATTTGGTTCTTTCGAGAGACTCACCTGGAACCCAGCTGAATCTCTCGTTTATGATGTTCTCAGGCAACTGAATGTGCTGCACCAGGCCGCCTCATGTTTCAGTCGCTACGATATTTGAAATATCGCGA